GAGACACCTTTAAGGAATAATTTTCCCTGCACTTTCCTTCATTTCAGAAGCTGTTAAAACATATTAATTTTTTACATAAAAAGGCACTGATGGCATCCCGTGGTTCATTTTCTCCTGCTCTCCTGTCCTTTCTGAACTATAAATTGGTTAGGCCTGGTGCAGTGTCTGATGCATGGACTCAGATGTGAATGATACAAATCGTTTATTACAAGTTCTCACATCACTTATATACCTTCACAAGTTTTCTTTTTCTAGCTTTCCCATCCATTCCTACAACTTTCCCATCCACCTTTCCATGCCAACAGAGCATTCTACAAAACACTCTTCAGCTGTTCACACAGGCGCTTATCCAATCAGAGCCGTGAGATGTTCTTTCTTCTCCTAGAGGTGTCCTTGGTTCTCATGCTGTCTATGCTGCTCCACAGCTTCTGCTCTGAACAGTTTTTCTTGTATTTCCACAGCCTGGCATATGCCATGTCGATACAAAGATCAGGTACAATGGGAGTCCATTTTTAGGTACCCCTACAGCAATTTTGTTAAAAATAAGAATAAATCCTCATGGCTAACACGAGCCATCAGTTGCTACTCCTGTCTCCATCTGTCTCCCTCTTACACAGTAAAGACAAGGAGGAGAGGCAGAGCCTCATTAGAGTTTGATAATCCATACTCTTGGCATGAAAGAGAGGAAAATATAGAATACTTCCTCTCTTGTTTAAACCTAAATCAGGTTCAGGTAACACACATGAGGGCACAAGCATGGGTTTTACTGCTCTGTGAAAATGTGTATTGCAAAGCATGACCTGACTTTTGGTACCTTGTTCCACTTACTGACAAGAAACAGTCTGTCAGTGTTAAGACATTTACTGAAAACACAACACAACTGGTGGTCAAAGGTCAAGTAACACTATTTATGTGCAGTAAAAGTACTTAGTGAGAACAGTTTCTGGAGAAAGTTGCATATCTCCTTCCAGTTTCTGTCCAAAAAGCAAGAGCAGCCCTTTTGATCTGTTTTTTATGAAACTAAGAGAGGAATATTCCTTTGATTAAAAAATGTGTTACAGTATTTGCCTTTGACAACTATTTATTCTTTTGTCTTATTTTCCTGACTGATTGCAAGCACAGACGTTTTAGTGAAAACAATTACGCTTGTATATTATTGTCAATGTTCTGACTTCTTCAGTCAAGAAAGGTGGAAACACATCTTTGCTGAACTTCAAACAGTAATAAACATAACGATGCACTCAGCCTCCAACTCACATAAATAATGTTCTTCTCCAGTGTGAACAATTTCAAGCTGTTTCAAAAGTTACTTAAGTTTAGGAGCCACACCTACTTCATCATGAACCTATATATCTTAACCATGTGCGAAGGTCCAGCTGTCGAGTAAGAAATAATAGATTGTTGCACAAAGAGACACAGGATATTACCTAACTAATATGAGATATTGCTAAATTTCTATAAAAGCGGAGATTAAAGATTAATGGACTTGAGTGCACCCTCAATGAGCTCGGGTGCACCCTCAGCAAGTTTGCTGATGACACCAAGCTGAGTGGTGCAACTGTCATGTTAGATGGAAGAGATGCCATACAGAGAGACCTCAACAGACTCAAAAGGTGGGTCTATGTGAACTTAATGAGGTTCAACACAGTAAAGTGCAAGGTTTTGCACTTGGGTCACGGCAATCCCAGTTATGTACAGGCTAGGAGAAGAACTACTTGAGCGCAGCCCTGTGGAGAAGGACCTGGGGCTTCTAGTGGATGAAAAACTGAACATAAGCCAGCATTGTGCTCTTGGAGCTTGGAATGCCAATGGTATCCTGGGCTCCATCAGAAGAGGGGTGGCCAGCAGGGACAGGGAGGTAATTATCCCTCTCTACTCTGCCCTCATGAGACCCTATCTGGAGTACTGCTCCAGATCTGGGGTCCCAATACAGGAAAGATGTAAACAGGTTGGAGAGAGTCCAGAGCAGGGCCACAAAGATGACCAGAGAGCTGGAGCACCTCCCTTATGAAAACAGGCTGAGGGAGCTGGGCTTGTTCAGTCTGGAGAAGAGAAGGCTGCGAGGAGACCTCATTACAGTCTTCCAGTATTTAAAAGTGGATTATAAAAAGGAGGTGAATCAACTTTTTACTCGAGTAGACAGTAAGAGGACAAGGAGGAATGGTTTTAGCTCAAGGAGGGAAGGTTTAGATCGGATGTCAGAGGGAAATTCTTCACAGAGAGAGTGGTGAGGTGCTGGAACAGGCTGCCCAGAGATGGTGTGGATGCTCTGTCCCTGGAGATATTCAAGGCCAGGTTGGATGGAACCCTGGGCAACTTGGTCTAGTACCAGATCTGGAGGTTGGTGGCCCTGCCTGCAGCAGAGGGGCTGGAGATCCATGATCCTTGAGGTCCCTTCCAATACAAGCCATTCTATGATTCTATGATTCTATGATTCAGAGATTTAAGAAGTGTTTTCTTCCAGACTTGAAAATAATACTTTTTAAAGTCATCCTTTACAAAGATCATTACACTGATAGTCTGAAGCTTCTGCAACCACCTGGTCCAATAAATAATAAGCCTTACATTCTTCAATCCTAAAAACCAGAGGGCTGTTCCAGATAATAAATAGTTAGTTCAGATAGATCTCTTTAAACTCAAAGTTTCTACACGGTTTTTTATAGAACTGCTCCAATTTGCTAATAGTTTAATGAAGCATGCGATCTGCACCTAGTTTGTTGTGTTGTAAACACACTCAGTTAAATCAAGCTCTTGCATATTAGTGCTTATCTGCTTAGCTTGTCTTCCTCTCGCAAAGGGAGGAGAGTTCAAAATTCATTAAAATGCTTTGTAAATTCATCTCTAGTTTGTTATGAAAAACATCCTGCTAGTTTTGCCCCACTGGCAGCTGAACTTGGTGCTCGATATATTTATATATTTACATTTATAGCCATGTACTTGTGCTCAAAGAAACAAATACCACTTAGTATAGTAAGAAAGCATAAACTCCCCCAGAGTGCTCATGCATCTGAAAAATTGGCATCTATCACCATTTATGTTCAGTAACTAAGAGGCCCAGTGAAATTCAAGCCCACTATGTGTTCAGAGTGTGTTGATTTCCCACAGCTGCATAAAATAATGCTGATGTTAAAAGTTAAGAAAATAAATTTCTCAGTCTCCTAGTCCAAATGTTTGCTGTCCACAAAACCAACTAGGTGGGGGAATCCCTGGGACACAAAAAGAATATAATCCATTCTGGACTCTCATTAATGGTTACAAGCACCTCCAATCCAATATTTAATTTGGACAATTTGAGCTGGATTTAATACAACTGCTCTTCACAGATACACGAAATGAAGTGCATGTAACTCATCTGTCAGACAGACTGCTTTTTTTTTTTTTCAACATGAAACAGAAGATAATGAACTGACTCAAACAATACACCTGTGCACAGCAGATCTTGGATATGATGGTATCAACTACACTGTCACTTTCTGCCGAATTAATCTGCATTGGGATCTGTTTGCAAAATTCAACATTAATGCTATTTATTTAAAGTGTATTGCAAGTCTTGCAGATATTATTAGTCTGTTCCTTCATGCCACCAAGACCATTTGCAGAGTGATCCTTGATAAAGGGGGAGACAGCAAACTGGATTCCCAAGAACAATTCTCGACATAATTTATGTTAACATTTCTTGACCACCACATGCTGAATCTATCCTGAGGAACAGCACCAGGCAGAGCCACTTCACAATGAACAAACTACTTCCTGCATCATAGTAACACTGTAGTAGCATGAAGTTACTGCCCATACAAACTATATGAAGCCAGGTAACCAGGATGCAAAGGTGATTTCTCTGCCTTCCTTTCGGTTGTTGAGTCTTCCCCACTCAATTAATTCTCCTTAATTGCCAGGATCTGCCTGAAATCAACCTATACAGTCCATTGAGTGACTTTATATCTGCCTGGCTTCTGTGGTGGACCAGTGCAAAATCAACACCAGAAACTTACATTTGACCCCAAAGAAAGTATCTAAAAAACCCTAAAAGTTAGATTGATGGTGTAAGCCAACATGCCTTTTACAATGAGTTCTGCTGTAGGTACTCTAATACTTTTTATAGCCTTTACCATAAACCAGTTCTATTCCCACTGTCTGAACTCACGAATAACATTGCCATAAATTTCCTAGCTCTGACAACAGGAAGAAAAAAAAATCTTGGCGTTTTATTTAAAACTAATACAGAGTACAGTAAATGAAATAAAAATTGCAAATCTTAAGTCATTAAACATCAGGTTTGGTATCTGATACTTTAGTGTTGTAGCCCATGGTCTAAGTGATACTCCAAGACATTCCTTGAAAAGTATAGGCAATGGGAAAATGAAGGAAGGTGAATGACGAAAGGCTGCTGGAGGGAGGAAAACATTAGTCCTAGTATCTGGGCAGCCTGGGAATCCAAAACTGGCATCTTGTGAAGAGCTGAATTTTTTCAGACTCCCTTATTACTTTGCTTGTGTATCAAAATTTTGAAATGAACTGAGATATTAAAGAACATCTCTAAGAGTATCATATAACTTTCATATTTCAGATATGTAAAGCTGTTTCATTAACGAATCACTATGTGTTTCCTCCAAATGTTCCTGAATCGTTATTCACCAAGGAAACATTTCCAGTGGCCAGTTCTCCCCATGTATATAGCTATTAGTCAAGGTGACATAGGAAGTGTTGAAACAGCAGATCTTGTTAGAACACTAATATTGTTAAGACAGAAGTTAATAATTCTAAAAGTTAACTTTATGACCAATTAATCATGTGGGGTGAGTGCTGGAGGCATTCTATCCAGATGTATATCCTAATTTACTGTCCCCAATGCATAACTCAGGAAGACAGGTTTGCAGGTGAAATATAAGCACTAAAATGCTGAGCTAAAAGAAAATCTCTTTTGAACTTCCGCAAAGTCAAGCTAAGAATCAAAATCTTTTGGATTTAAATGGTTTTATGCAATGCAGCGTCACTCTTACCTCCATGGGAAAGGCTTTAAAATTAACCGTGTGCTCAGAACCACGCTGGTTTTCTCTCCCCCAGTGAAATCGAACATCGTGTAGTTCAAACTCATGTCCTCGAGGTAACGGCCCACCTATTAACACTGGGAAAGAACACAAATGGTAATGCACTCGGCTTTGCATGAGACAAGCCAATAGATACATTCTGTAAATACAATGAGGACATTGCTGCAAGCTTATTCTCAACCGAGTTAGAAAGGGAAGTTGACAGAGGTGAGATCTTTACTTTAGAACTTCCGTGCAGTACAGAATTTAGGCAGTTATAAACAGTGAAAACACTGTCATGTAAGCCATGCACTCTTAGTTTTATGAGCCAGAACAGCTGGTTCATAACACAAAATAAAAACACTGTACCTTTATCAGAAGAGTGAATAAGTTTATTGCTGTTATCAAGACAGTAACCACATGCTCTAAACAGATGGCAGAGGTTGTGAATTGAACTGGTCACTACCTTCAACTAGTCTAAACGCTTAATTTTCATCACCTGTATTTGCTATGTACCACAGAAGCTGACAGAAAATTTTGGTTGCCAATATTTGCCAAGTGAAAGGAAGTAAATTGAAGGTAGTAAGTCATATGCCACCTGTCAGCCTTTGAGATACAGAATACCTCCATAGCCAAATATAATCATAGAATCATAGAATCACAAGGTTGGAAACAACCTATAAGATCATCTAGTCCAACTGTGTCCAATCAATACATATAATCATACATGTGCTTATTTCCTTAAAAACAGCTTCTAAATAGCCATAGCTTTTTGCTAACTTTTTTTTTTTTTTAACAGAATCCAGAATTTCTTAAAAGTATCTATCCATACATACTGCACAAAGCAACTGCTTCACATAATAGCTTGAGTCTTTTGCATTAATGGAGCCTTCTATCCTAACAGTAAGTACTAAAAGAAAGCAATTTTGCTTGGACCTTTTTGAGTTCCAGCCTACTTCGGAATTAATCAGTGGAAACATTTGGCCCAGGGATTTGCAAATTGGCTTCACACCAATTACTACTCTGCATGTTATAGGTAACTTTATGCTAAGATCATTTGAGTGCTGGCTTCTACATAGGGCTGGGTTTTATTTAAGGTCACTCACAGTCTTTCTCATAATCCATTACCTTCTGGCTTACATTTCATTGACTTTGAAACTTTTACAATCTTTGATAATTGATAAGGATTATTAAACTGAATAATGTACAGCTTTAGAGAACAGCAGTTCCATAATAAAAAAATTATTTTGATGTACAAACTATGTAGCCTTGGAGTAGTTTGGATCATAAGATGTACTGCAGTAGTAAAACAATTCAGCAACTGTATCGTACTACAACTGCACAAAAACAAAAATACTGATAAAAAAAAAAAGAAACCTGATCAGTTACAGTTTTCAGTCACTAGTGCTGAAGAAATATTCAGATTAATTCTCTTTTAGTTATTCGTCATAATTAATCTAAAAGCTATCAGGGTTCCTCAGATGATATGTCCTAAATGTGATTATGAATTCAAACTTGCTTCTAAAACTTTCTTTACCTATATTCTACTCATATCTGTTGGGAAAAATCTGCAAATCTAGTGAATATTTGGGAAAACAACCAATTGAAGTACTTAGGAAAATCTAGAAGAACAAAGATACATGATAATTAGGGTTACTTCTTAGGAAAGTAGAGTATTTCCTGTTTTAAAATATTGTTCCTAAAAAGTGTAACTAGACTAAATGTCTTCTATATGAAGTAGTTCTGTATCTGCAGGAGCTTCTAAGACTTCGTTTTCAAAGCTTAATTTATCCACAGATCCCATGATAAAAGTATTTCAGTGCATAAGGCATGTTTATCTTTCTTCATCTTTCATCAAATTCTGATCCTTGTAAATGCATTAAATGTTTAAGTATACTTTCCAGCATTTTTGATCCTTACTAGAAAACAAATCATCTGATTTGGAAACTACTGATGGCTTAAGAAAAATCTCTCTGTTATATGGATCCTCCAAAGCAATTTTCAATATCCAATTCCATAACACAGTTGGTCATGCTTATTCCACCTAATGTATAACATATGTATGATGATCAAATTGAAAGCAGCCTGTAAAAATGTTTACAATTAAATAATAAAAAGGATTGGAGAATTCCAGATGGAGCGTGTCCTGAGTTGAAGGATAAAATAATTCACCAAAAAGAACAAATTGACTTTTGATATATACTTAATCAGTTTATGTTTTCCACAAAGTTCTTTGTTGACTAACAGCACTACAGTAGGTGCGACTCTCTTGCACATCAACTGGACAAAAGTTTCAAAAGCACTCAGTGCTCAACAGTTCCCATTAAAACAATCTGGCTAAATGGATTTGTCATCAGAGATCCCCTGTGAGGAAGAGAATATGCAGGAGTTTCCGCAATCCCTGAAAATTAGCCAGAATACTAGGTCAAACACAGCTTATTAACTCTTTTCTTCCCTTTGTAGGGGTAAGTAATGTCTCCCTCCAAACGTGGAAAAATTATCCCGTTTAAAAATGGAAAACTAGGTAATACAAAACTAAGAAGAAATTGAAAGTAAATCAGGAATTCCTAAATCCTAATCCCATATCTCACTCATAAACTTTCATTTTATTTCACTTAATTTCTTACATTTCAGCACTCATCAGTCTGACATCAATCTGCATTCCAGTTTAGAAAGTATTTTTCTCTTCCTGGGCCTCGAATAGTTTTGAACACGCATATGGTGTGTTGTTAGTCCCATCTTACTCATTATTGCTACGAAGTTACAAACTGCCTGCAGAAAGGAGGGTTTAACGAGTTGCACTTTGGCATGCAAATGGCAATGTTGTTCTCAGTCAGCCTTACCCCGGAGGAGAATTCAGCGACCTTCCTGATCTAACAGAGAGAACCTTACTTTCTGAGAAAAGAGCCCTGCTTCTGATGAAGGCAATAAAACTGACAGAAAGTACATTTCTGTTCTATTGGAAATCAGCAAAAATCTGTGGAAAGCAATGTTCTATTTAGTAATGCAACATGAGATTTACCACAGAAGGGATATCATAGAGGAAAACATAATTATTAAGAGAACAAACGCTTTTGTTTAAAAAAATTAGTGTAAAACTGAACTAACTGCCTCACCACCAACACAGCTGCAGCTCACAGGACTACTGGGATCTCAGAAGGAAACAAAAGTTGGGCTGTCTTGTGGTTTGACAACCTTCAGCTGTTTAAATGCCCCCAGAAGGCAGCTGCTAGCTAAGACTAGTTATAATAACTTGGACACTCTTCAAAACACACGGCAAGAACTATCACAGGGCTGGAAAGAGCTTTCTTTGCCAACTTCCCTGACAGTTGTCTCCTTTGTAGAGAATAGTTTGTCCACATGAAAGGTCTAAACGAGATACTGTCATTTCACTAAACTTGAAATTGCTTATCAGTTTCTAGTTCTTATTTGATGAATTAACCTGAAAAACCCTTTAAGAAATAAGGACTGCTTTGCTACCTGCTCTTCATCAATATTGTAGGTACGTATAACTGGAGTATCTGTGTTAACTGACTAGTTAGTATTCACAACCCACTCAAATTAATGGGAAAAGTTTAGTTTAACTTACACAGACTTCAGAAAATGGACAGATTTTGCCAGTTCGGCACCACACTGTCCTAGCAATAGCAACAGCAGACAGCTGTCAGCACACTCGATGACAGCATCACAACAGAGTCCAACCCTTGCTCTGAGTGTCCCCGAACGTGCTCTGGAGAAGCCGCACCGCCCATCCAGCTTGGCGCTGACAGCTCCCTTCCCAAAGCCGGTCCCAAGGCAGCAGCACCCACCCCTCCTCCGAGTCGCAGCCGGCGCTGAAGCAGCCCCTCCTACGGGCGCACAGCAACCCGAGAGGCAGCGAGCGCCCAGGGAACGCCGCCGGAGAAGTGTAAGCAGTGTGGAAGCATACCTGACTTGGACTTGAGTGCGATCTGAATGGAATGCCCGTCGTTAATCACTTCGCAGTCGCGACACACGACGTAGTTGGGCGACAGGCGCACTTCCAGGAGCGAGGGGTCGTACTTCGCTTCTCTCGAGTTCAGGTTGATGGGCGACTGGTACTCCCCGTTGGCATCGGGAAAAATCAGTCCCCACTCGACCCCTGAAGCGCCAGGAGAAGTCGTTACGTGGCGATCCACCCCCGGACCCCCCGCCTCGCCCCCGCCAAAGACGTGGCCGTCATCGGTCGCCCCCGGGGCTCCCCGGCTCCCTCGCGATCCCCCTCCCCACCGCGCCGCGATGTAAATCCTCCTCCACCACCACCACCACCTCTTCCTCTGCCCGTAGGGAAAGTTTCCCCCGCCGCAGCCGCTGCCGTGCGCCCGCTCCTCACCTTCTTCGTAGCCCCACTCCGGAGCCTCTTCCCTGCGCGGGAAGGGCTCGGCTCCCTCGATTAGGCTCCGGTCAGCCATGGGGGCTGCTCCCCTCGGGCCGGGGCTGCCTGCGCGGCTGACGGGCGAGGCTGCCTCGCGGCGCTGCGTCGCGCTCGGGCCCTGCCTCCGCCCCGCGGGTGGCTGGCGTTGTGCGGCGACGGGCAGGGGCAAGGGCTGGGGGCGGAGGGAGCCGTGCGCGAGGGCCGAGCGCTGCATCACGCCGCCGCGGGGCCGGGCACGGACGACCGCCCCCGGAGGAGGGTGTGAAGGCGGTCGCGGTTCTGCAGCCCGGCTGGGATTCCTCGTACGACGCCATTCGCCTCGGCTTCCCGCCGCGGTGACTCCGTGTGCCAGCGTTCGCGTTGGCAGCACCCCCGGGGAGAGCCTGATCTACAAGTGCAAAGTCTGCTTGCACCTGCGAAGGAAGCTCCCCAGGCTTCGGATAGGACAGGGGCAAGCAGCTGGAAGGAGGCCTGGTACGAAAGGACCGAGGGGTCCTTGTGAACACCATGTAGAATGAGTCAGCCGTGTGCCCTTGGTGCTGGGATGGCTTCTAGTATTCTTCACTGCGTTAGGAGGCATGTTTCCAGCAGGTCAAGGGGCACGATTCTGAGTCTCTGTGATGCTACTTGAGGCCATCCCCTCCAGTCCTGTCACTAGTTACACAGGAGAAGAAGTTTACCCCGCCTCAGCATAACTTCCTTTCAAGGAGTTACTGAGAGCAATAAGGCATTCCCTGAACCTCTTCCAGCCAAACTATCCCAATTCCCTCAGGCGCTCCTCATAAGACTTGTGCTCCAGACCCCTCACCAGCTTTGTTGCCCTCCTCTGAACATGCTCCAGGGCCTCAGTGTCTTTCTTGTAGTTAGGTGCCCAAAACTGAACACAGTACTCAAGGTGTGGCATCACCAGTGCTGAGTACAGGGGGACAGTTACTTCCCTGCTCCTGCTAGCAATGCTATTTCTGACACAAGCCAGGATGCCATTGGTCTTCTTGGCCACCTGGGCACATGGCTGGGTCATGCTCAGTTGAGTGTCAACCAACACCCCCAGGTCTGTTTCCTCTACACAGTCTTTCAGCCACTCTGCCCCAAGCCTGTAGCGTTGCCCGGAGTTGGTGCATCTAAACTTCAGGACTCAGCACTAGATCTTGTTAAACTTCATCACACTGGCTTCAGCCCAGTGATCCAGCCTGTCCAGATCGCTCTGTAGGGCTTTTCTATCCTCAAGAAGATTGACACTTCCAGCCAACTTGGTGTCATTTGCAAACTTACTGAGGGTGCACTCAACGCCCTCATCCAGGTCATCAATAAAATATTGAACAGGACAGGCCCCAATATCAGCCCTTGGGGAACACCATTTGTGACTGGTCGCCAGCTAGATTTAACTCCATTCACCACTACTCTGGCCTGACTTCCAGCCAGTTCCCTACCCAGCCAACAGTGTACCTGTCTAAGCCACAGGCTGCCAGCTTCTCCAGAACACAGTGGGAGACAGTGTTGAAGGCTTTGCTGAATTCTAGATAGACTACATCAACAGCCTTTTTCTTATCCACCAGATGGCTCACTATATCAAAGAAGGAGATGAGGTTGGTCAAGTAGGACCTGCCTTTCATGAACCCATGCTGTCTGGACCTGGTCCCCTGGTTGTCCCATGCATGCTGTGTGATCTCACTCAAGATGATCTGCTCCATAACCATTCTTGGCATCAAGGTGAGGCTGCTGGGCCTGTACGCAGATCCTCTTTATAACTCTTCTTGTAGATTAGAATCACATTAGCAAGTCTCCAATCCTCTGGGACCTCTTTGGTTGACCAGGAACACTGATAGGTGGTGAATAGTGGCTTGGCATTCACCTGAACCAGCTCCCTCAGCACCGTTGGGTGGATCCCATCCAGCCCCATGGACTTGTCCAGGTGGAGGAGGAGGTTTCTAACTGTTTGTACCTAAATTGTGGGGAGTTTATTCTGGTCCCCATCCCAGATTTCAAATTCAGGAGGTAGAGTACCCTGAGGATAATTAGTCTGACTTTTAAAGACAGATGTAAAATATGCACTGAGAACCTCAGCCTTTTCATTATCCTCGGTGGTCACATTCCTCACGGCATCCAATAAAGGATGGAAATTCTCCTTAGCCCTCTTCTTACTGTTAATATATTTGTAAAAATGTTTTTTGTTCTCTTTTACCACAGTGGCCAAGTTGAGTTCAAGCTGGTCTTTTCCTTTCTAATTTTCTCCCTGCATATCCTAACATATCCTAACAACTTCTTTGTACTCTCCTCGAGTTGCCCATCCCTTCTTCCACGGGAGGCAGATATTTTTTTTCTCCTGGAACATCAGGAAATGTTTCCTTTTCATCCACATCAGTCTTCTCTGCCAACTCATCTTGTGGCGCAAAGGAATAGCCTGCTTCTGTGCTTTGAAGACTTCCTTCTTGAGGAGCAACCAGCCTTCCTGGATCTCTTTACTCTTCAGGACTAAATGACAAAGGACCTCCCTACCAGTGTCCTGCAGTTCCAAGTCCACCCTCTGGAAGTCCAAGGTAGCAGTTTTGTTACCCCGCCTTCTGACATCACCAAGAATCAAGAACTCTACCATTTTGTGGTCACTCTTTCCAAGACAACTCCTGGTGTCCACACCTCCCAGCAGTCCTTCTCTGTTTGTGAACAGCAGGTCTAACAGGGCATATTTCTTAGTAGGCTTGTTTACCAGCTGTGTCAGGAAGTTATCTTCCATATACTCTAGAACCTCCTAGAATGCTTCTTTTGTACTGTACTGGTTTTCCAGCATATATCAAGGTAGCTGAAAACAGGAGCTAGTGATTGCACAACTCCTGCCAGCTCCTCATAGAATGCTTTATCCATCTCTTCATCCTGGTTAGGAGGTCTATCATGATGTCCGCCTTGTTGGCCTTCCCCTCAATTCTTACCCACAGAGATTCAACCTTGTAATTCCCAGCCCTGAGCTCAGTAACTTCAAAACACTAACATAGAGAGCCATGCCACCACCCCTCCTTCCTTGCTTATCCCTTCTGAAGAGTTTATAGCCATTCACTGCAGCACTCTACTCATGAGAGCAATCCCACCATGTTTCAGTAATGGGTTTAGAATTTGGATGGCACTTTGTGGAGACAGGAGTTGGATTTGCTGATCCCTTGTGGGTCCCTTCTAACTCAGAATAGTCTATGATTCTACAAAACTCAATAAAGGCATGCTCCAATTCAAGGATATCAGAGTTCTCTTCCTATACCAACTGATATGTGTGGATCTAGAGAACGTTTGTTCTGTCAAGGGAAAAAAGTCAGACCTCTGCAGTTGGCTCTCCCCTAGTGTGGTGACCCAAAAACTTAAATCAGTTTTTTTGGGGAAGAGGACTGGAAACCCAGCAATGACAGTCTGCACTGCCTGAGAGCAACCAAGAGGTGCAACAGAAACCATCAAATAGAGATGCTACAGTGGTAAGTGGAACTGTCCTTTCCTTACCATCCATGTCTTCCTGACAGAATAATATCCTGACCTTGTGCTGTTGATCCACTCTGTGGACCTATGTTCCTGCAGTACCACTGCTCAGCAGTAGTACCTGTGACTCCTGTTCAGGGCTGACAAGAGAGAAAAAGGAGTGAGCTAGAAATTTTTTAATGAAGCAAGAGAGTACTGGTTCATGAGTTGTGTACAAGGTGGAAAGAAATCAAAACAAAAATATGTATTGGGTTTTCTTGTGTGCTTTTTGTTGTGTATATTTTTTGGGGGGAAAGGGGGAAGAAGTAGGTTGTTTGTATAGCATCAGAACAAAAATACATGTTTCTTTCTTCATGATCTTCACTACTGATGACTTAAAAGGAATACATTCTATCTGAACAAACTACATCAGTATGCAGCTTCTTGTGGGGAAAAAAAAAAGAAAAAGGAAGCAAATTTACCTTTTTCTCTTATGTTGAATACCTGACATCCTTACAAACAGAATGTGCAAGTTTTCTGGCATGAACTTTTTCACACAATAACATGATGAATATACATATTTTTCTCCCGTGCTAAATTGGTTTGTTTGGCAAATTTTATCCTCTAAATCCGTTTTAAACACACACTAGGTATTCTTATTAAAGTCAATGCCTTTGAATTATTGCTGACCCACAGAGGGGAAAAAAACACTGCTCTAAATCATCATTGATTCTGGCCCATCTGACTAGAAATGCCTTTTTCTCTTTAAGCAGTCTCATATTTTGAAGAAAAAACAGGTTTAGGAGGCTGGGTTCATTCCAATGGCCCTTGAAGCACAGTACTTCATTCATGCCCTCTATTAAGTTCTTTCCTGTGGTAGCTTTCCTGTGGGACGTCTGTTCTAGAATTTCACACTTTCGAGTGGCAACATAATCAGACCTGTGATTTCCTGTTTTGTAATAAATACTTTTAATGGCTTTTCATAGTTTTCATGGCTTCCATTCATAACTGAAGTTAAGTGCTAAACTACTTATATTTGTTGCCCTTCCTTTTAACCTTTTCATTCTTTCCATATCCTTCTGAAAAATTAGGCACAGCGGGTAAAGGCTTATTTATTTCTCTTTGTCTGTTCAGTTATTCTCTGTGCAAATACTGTATTTTTCCCATAGTTGTCTGGCATAGATGTCTGGCATAGAATGACCTAATCAGCAGATTAGATTCTTAAGATCGCTATGAATTGGTAAAGTGTGTGAGTAACAAGGGATTTCAAGGTTATATCTCTACAACGTAAGGGTTCACAGGACAGATATTTCTCATTTAATTCCAACCACAATTGACCTGAGCAATCTCTGCACAAACCAACTCATTTGTTTCTGGACCCATCTTCATGTAAAGGCACTGAATCACATAGAATCAGATGGAGATAATGACATGATGAAAGCCTTGCTTGAGATCAGTGGGATTTGCTCTCTTTTAATGATGTAGGCACTCTTGAAATTGTTGGACTCTTTATTGGTCCATGCTGTTAAATTTGCACATATAAGGTTACAGTTGGCTTATCTACAAAGACTTGATTACTAGCTAATATAGTACACTTAAATGCAGTGTTTATTCTGTAAAATTTCACTGCCTGTGGAATTACTCATTGTAGTAACTTTTG